GGGACTCACCAGCTTGCCAGCCTCCACCACTACTGCGTGAGAAGATCCCTTGGGTGTGAGTTCTGTGAGGTGTTATGACAAAATACAGAACCCTTAGATGTGGGAAATTACTGGAAGGAGGAGGAACAGTTGATGTCTGAAATGATGGAGTGCCATGGTACTTTGGACATTTGGGACATCTTTAACCTCTACCTCATGAGGACTGACCGGCCTTGTGCTGATCTGAGAGAAATTGTTTAAGCAGTCATCTTGTGTATTAATGGTCTGTTGTTATTTGCTATTTTTGGTTCTTTGTTCAAAGGACTCCCTTTAGCATCTCTTGTAAGGTTGGTCTGGTTTTATCAAATTCCCTTAGTTTCTGCTTATCTGGGGATCTCCTAATTTCACCATCATATTTTAGGGACAATTTTGCCAGGTATATAATTCTTGGTTGAAAAATTTTCTCTTTCAGGGTTTTATAATATACCATCCCATTGCTTTCTTGCTTGCATGGTTTCTGCTGAGAAATTAGTTTCTTCTTACTGTTGTCCTTTGTAACTTTTTGTTTTTCCCATGCTGCTTTCAGGATTCTTTGTTTGTGTTTGGTTTCCATGAGTTTGATGATGATGTCATGGTGATTTCCTTTTGGGGTCTACCCTGGTTGGGGTTGGTTGGACTTCCTGAATTGATATATTCTGGTCTTTCATCATATCAGGGAAGTTCTCCTCCAACAAATCTTGGGCAATTTTCTGTCATTTTATTTTTCTCTTCCTGTTCTGGAATTCCAATGACACGTAGGTTATTCCTTTTTATGGTATCCCACATAAACCTTAGGCTTCCTTCATTTTGCTTTGATCTTTTTTTTCTGTTTGATCCCTTTCCAAAGAAGTATTCAGGTATTTGTTTTCAATCTCATTAATTCTGTCATCCATTGCATCAATTCTACTCCTTTGACCTTTCAATGTGTTATCTAATTCTGACAATTTAGCATTAATCATCTGGATTTCTATCTAGATTTAGAATCATTTCTAATTTTTCATTTATTTTGTCATTTTGTTCGTATATTTATTCAACTTCATTAAACATAAAATGGGAATAAGAATCACCACTTACTGATATTTATTAGGTGAATAAGTTAGGTGAAACATTTTTAGTAGTTAGAACAGTGGCTGATGGGTAGTTAACAACAGATAAATCATTACCTATTACTTTTGTTTGCAAATTACTCTCCTATAGGCCTCTTAAGTTTATTTCCTCTAAGAGCCTTACTTTTTGTGGGGGTAAGGTGCTCACTGCACAGTCAAAAGCAAGGACAGGAGACTCTTTGCCAAAGTTAAAAGCGCATCAAACACGCCTAGCATTTATTATTTTAATCACAAACCTATAGACCCCTCATTACATCCTCTTGGGGTCTAGCCCCAGCAATCCAGAGCTGACAACCTTAAGTGTATGTGGTAGGAGGGGCAAGGATGTGGGGAGTGTCTCTTGATAACTCTGTTGGGGGGGGATTCCCTCAAATGGAGAACTGGGTAGGGGCCAGAGGTTGGGGGTTACCAAGGTTCTGAATAGGGGGTCAATAAAAAAGTTCAGATAAACAAATGAAGGGATTCAATTTGCTTTTACAACCCTCCCACCAAGCCTCTGTTTTGGTGGGGGAGTAGCCTCTACTTTTTCCCAGGCTGAGGAACACCCAGGAGAACACCCAGTTTCCTTCATCCTGTTCCTCCACATTCTGAGAAAGGGTAGTAGGGTACTGGTTCCAAGAACTTAGATTCAGTCGCCCTCATCCTTATCACTTTCCAAAAATGCTCCTTAAGGCAGGACTCTGCCCAAGGGTCATGGCCTAACTCTAACTTCTGATCTAGGCTTGGAATGTCAATCTATAACATTTCAAGGTTGCCACCCTTCCCCTGTAGGTTAGGTTGGGATGGTCCCAGGTTAAGGCAGGGGAGCTTAAGTACCACTGCTTCCTGCAGTGTGGAATGCTTGGATGGGATGTTGCTATGGGACAAGGACGGGGCTGTGACCTCCACTTGGAGTGGCTGATCTTACTAATTCCTCCATGCCTGAAATACCTGTGCTGGGCTATTCCTATAGGGAAGGGGTAGGGTGTGACTCCTCAATTTCTAGAAGGTTGGGACTGAGTTCCCAGGGCAAGGGGTGAGATTTCATCCTTATTTCTACCCTTGCCTGGGCAGGGCAAGGTTCATGGGAAAGGAGCAGGTCCCAGGGATGAGACATCCATCATTTTTGACTCCTCCTTCTTGCCTAGATGGACTAGACTGGCAGTTCTAAGAGAAAGGATGGAATAGCATCCTCACACTTTTCCCAGGTGGTCTGGCTAGAACTGTCCCTAGATAGGCGCAGGGCCCCATTCTGTCTCCTTCCCTCATCTGGGCCAGGTCAGGTCCCATGGGGCAGGGGTGAGGCTGTGATCTCCAGGGGGCAGGGCCTGATCTCACTACATCCCCTAAGTCTGCAATACCTGTGCTGAGCTGCTGCTTTGGGGAAGGAGTAGGGCCTCATTTAATTCCTCCTCTTTGCTTGATTACAGGGGTGGGGCCTGATCTCATCTCATCTTCCCCCAGAACACCTGGGCAAGGCAGTCTCAAGAGGGGGTGGGGGAAAAGGCAGGGCCTCATCCTGACTTGTCATCCTTTCCTGGGTGGGGAAACCCCAGGGGAGGGGTCAGGCCTGATCAGGATTCTTCCTCCATGCTGAAGCTGCTTCGGCGGCTGCTGGCCTTGGAGACAGCAGGGGACACTGAAGAAAGCAGGGGGTCAGAGGCAGCCCGCAGTGGGGACAGGGTGCCCCCTGACAGCCCCCTCACCACACTCTCCTCCTCCTCCATCAGAATGTCCTCCAGCCCCAGGTGGAAGGGGTCTCCCAGGTCTCCCAGGTGGTCACTGGGAAAGTGCAGGTCCAGAAGGGCATCTGAGGGTGGTGCTGGGGGCTGCTGATGGGGAGCATTCGGGGCAGGTGCCCCCCCCACATGAAATGTGCCTGGCCTGCTCTCCTCTTCAACGTCCAGCTGCTCTGGTTTGAGGCTATCTGGGGCCGAAGTTGTGGCCAGGGAGAGCAGCCCTGGAGTGGGAGGTACTGGCAGACCATGGATTTGGGCCTGCAGTTCTAGCTCCTGCAAAAAGTAAGGGGTACAAATAAGATGGAATTCAGAGTCCCTCAGAAGCTGAGGAGTGTAATGGTTAAAAGGGCAGGCTGCCTTGGTTCAAATTCAGCCTCTACCATTCCTAAGTTGTGCAAATTTAGGCAAGTCACTTACTGTCTAGGAGTCTCAGTGTCTCAATCTGTAAAATGGGTATAATAATCGACCCTCTCTCATAGGGTGGTTTTAAGGATTAAATAAGTTAATGCATATAAAAAACTCTTGTTACAGTACATGACACAAGATAAATGCTATATAAATTAGCTGATATTCATTATTATTCTTATAAATGTTATGATTATTACTTAGCAGCAGCATGAGAGTTAGGAAGCCTGGGGATCCCACAAGAATGCCAGGAAGGGAAAATA